AACCGTTGATTCATAGTTTACTTTGAGTCTATCTGATCTGATCTAATCTATTCTACTCTATCTACTTTCTTCTAATCTTAGTGTCTACTCTATTACTAGTCTATTCTAGCTAATTTATTGACTACCTATCTTATCTTCTATCGATCTATCTATCTATCCTATCTATCTATCTTATCTTCTATCTATGCTATTCTATCTATCTATCCATCTATCTATCTATCTATTCTAGTCTATCATATCTATCTATCTATCTACTATTTATGAATCTAGTCATATCTATCTATCTATCTATCTATCGCTATCTATCTATTTATCTATCTATCATCTATCTATCTATCTATCATCATCTATCTAATCTATCTATCTATTTATCTATCTATCTATCTATCTATCTATCTATGCTATTTTTTATCTTCTATTCTTCGTATCTATCTATCTATCTATCTATTCTAATCTATTATCTATCTTATCTATCTATAAACTAGTCTAATCTATCTAATGCTTATTAATCTATCTATCTATCTTATCCCCATCTATCTATCTATCTATCGTATCTCTCCATCTATCTATCTATCTATCTATCTATCATCTATCTATCTTTTAGTCTTATCTATCTATTTTATCATATCATATCTATCTATTATCTATCTATCTATCTATCTATCCTATTCCTATCTACTCATCTATCTATCTATTATCTATGCTATCTATCTATCCTATCTCCCCTCTCTTTCTCGTCTCTCTTTCTCTCTCTCTCTCTCTTCTCTCTCTCTCTCTCTCTCTCCTCATTCACTATATATACTATATATAGCTATTCATTTCAACCAGATATACTGTGGGGTTAAACTTAAAACGTCTTTTCTGTCACGGCCGCACTCAAGCATGCACACTCGTGCACACTCGCACACATACGATGCGGGTCACTGATGCCGAAGTCACATGCGCAATCACATTATAGTAGTTCCAATGCATTATACACATCATCCACACATAGTGGAAAACACTCCGTACCGATTTACATCTCCAATTGCTCGTGTAAGATTTCTCTGTGCTGTAAGTCAGCGACGCGGGCGCCCCCTGGCTGTAGCGGTGGACACTACTGGCGGGAGTCGAGCGAGGCGTCTGCATGCTGTAGCGCGTGCCGGGAGTCAGGACGCTGCCGCCATAGTTACTGACGTACGAGCCTCCGTAACCACTACTGCCAGACGACCAGATGCTGAGTTTGTCCGGAACCTTAGTGCTCCTGATAGTACCACTCATCATGCTCTCTCTATGTGCGCTACTATCCCCGCTGCACTATTGCGCAGGACACGTAGAGGTTTCTCTAGCGATGTGCGTAGATGCTAGGGTAACACTCGTCACTAGATGCTCCAGGTTGATCCGGTCTAGATGTCTCCAGTGATCCGATGGTAACGCGTTGAGAGCCTCGATCTCCACTCTCACCGTTTCACAGGATCGTGTATATTCACACAGCGATGTATAAAATGTTTGAGAATGCAATAAACATGAACAATCGGCGGCCGTTTGTCGTTAATTATTCGAGCAATTTCACTGAGTCAGTAATGCAAAACTAGGCTATGGCTATTAGCAATTTTACTACAGCCATCACATGGGTGAGTGTGCTTCACGTAGACGACACTTCGAAAGTCTTTGCTTAAGAATCTTTCAGTGCAAACAGAGATTTTCTAAATAGGACAGAGAGTGTGTGGAATCTCATGCTCGTCAACCTTGCTGAAGTCTCCTCGATTGCAGCTATATACAGACTACGCGATTAACGTATCTTTTTCACGGGAAATCAGTTTAAAACGAAAATCAACACTATTATACATGATAAATTCTTGGTTCCTATTACTTGTACTCCAAACTCCTACTTGCTTCTACTTATAACACGGAAAGGCAGCTGCCGCGGTAGCAAACACACGTTAGAAACTGTCACATCAACTATCACTATAGACTAACGCGATCACAGCCGTGAGCTGTGGCAGCCAGCTACGACACGCCTGCCTGCCACACGTACTGTTACGGCAAGTCGCACGCACGCACTGAGCGCACGCCTATTCACTACCGTGAATGACTCGCCTGCCTACTGGGCTGGTAAGTTGACCCCGAAAGACCTAGTTCCAGTCACGTGATGTAACAGTTAACCGGCGTCGAAGAAATAGATCGTAAAACGATTATTAGAAAGTTTCCAAATCGTCGCGCACATCAATTGGCCGTTGAACAAATCAAAGTTTGTTATTGTGCAGACACCGTTGATTCAACCATTGAATTCGGCGTGTACCCGCTTTTTTGAAATGTGTTATTATTTTGACACGCTGCTCTAATATTCCTTATAGTCTGCTGCGCATATAGTCGTTGAGGTTGTCTAAACATACTAGTTAATTATAATTCGACAGTAGTAAAGAGACGTGCAAATACTCGCCCTGCTAGTACATTTAATAATAGGTATTAGATAGCAGGAAACCGTTCTCGTGCTGGCACATTACTTCCTATTCGTTCGAAATGACTCCCGCAAAATCCTTCGAAACCACATTTTCGAATTATGGCCACATAATAGAGCATAATTTATATATACGCCACTTATCTTTGACGCCGGAAATAAGTTACCGCTGCGCTGCAACAAAAGTGAGATCTAGTTAGATTTAACCGGCTTATTCTGTGTTTGTGCCGAAACTAAAGACGCGAAGAACAAACAAGCGCCGCCAGAGGTCGCGGGCGCTGCACGAAGTCGGCTTAGTAACGCGCAGACGAAAGAAGCTGTCGTCATCAGGGTTGTATGTGGACCACGCTGTTTGGTTTATAGCTCAGATAAAGTCACTGCCTGCGGTTAATTAATAAACGGGTTGTCTGGTCGTAAATATGGTGGTTATATGCAAAGAAACAATAGGACGCTACTGTAGAACTTAACCTTACGAATTATTCACCTTGTTTTGGTTTCATTTCAGTACATATTAGCACCAGTGGTGAACTCACAATTTCAATTATGAGTGGCATGTTTAGGAGTGTATGTCGCACGGAGCAAATTGACGACGTGTGTGTCATGCTCAGTGGACGTTGTGCAGCGATTTATTGGCAACGGCAGTACATAACATAAACACCCGATACACCAATAGATCTTAGAGAAACGCGACATAGTGCGCAACGGAGCGTGCGGTTGGAGAGCGGGGCGAAGGTCGTGAGAAAAATACAAAGGTGTAAAAATTCATAGCAATCGTGTTGACCAGCGCGCAGTGAATATAGGCCACGGGTACAACGACGCACGGTCGAAATAAATATGATGCCAATAAAACCCAACGTATACGTCACAGCGCGTCTAGCTACCGGCTCGCCGAACAAACTTATAACGTCGCAATGAAGTATCGCTAGGGCGCACTAGGTGTCATGGCTGCTATATTGTACTTAAACTTTATGTATTATTGTTTCTGGTGCAGCTTAATCTTGCCACTCGCTATAGCTGGCTAAGAGCGCACACTGAGGTTTGAAAGCCAACCGTCTGAGTTGACTGCTTGTTCGACTGCGATGGCAGGAAATAACCCGCCTTTCATATATAATGTGCACACCGCAATTTTGCACGTCCGACGTAAGTCCTGTTATTACCTGTTGTGTGTGTGTGTGTGTGTGTGTGTGTGTGTGTGTGTGTGTGTGTGTGTGTGTGTGT